ACAGAACACTAGCTGAAAGCTAAAAGTAACAGAACACTAGCTGAAAGCTAAAAGTAACAGAACACTAGCTGAAAGCTAAAAGTAACAGAACATGAGCTAAAAGTAGCAAGAAGAATATAAACACAGCTCATGTCTGCTGAAGCAGATTTCAAACAGATCAAAGTTTAAAGAAACAAATCTGTGTTTTTTGTAAAAACCTTTTTAAAAGATAAAAGTTACAAAAAGCAGACTCACAGCTGTCCTCTCCTGAAGGAGCCGAAGGTATGAAAAAGTTAAAAAGAGTCTGCAGAAGTAGTAAAACCAAACTATGGAAGAGAAAACAGGCGTGTGAACGATGAGTCAGCATGTTTTACCTTCTGAGCCTCCTGGCCTCGTTTGGCCCCCCTGGCCCCCAGCAGGGTCCGGCTGGAGCTGGTGGAGCCGTGGATCTCCAGCTTCAGCTGTGGTTTGCTCCATCCTGAGGAGAGAAGAAGCTGCAAGCCCAGCTGGGATTAGCTGAGACCCGACGGACGGGTTTGTTTTGGGTTCTGTTGGGTCGGTACCTGCTGGCAGTAGAGCAGGAGGCAGAGCAGAAGAAGAAGAACTAACGTGCACATCACATCCCCACGCACGTGGAGGATCCTCCTCATCATCATCACCAACACCTTCCTCAGCATCTTCAGAGGTCCGTGGAAACTGGTACCTGCAGCTTCAGCAGTTTGTTTCGAAAAAACTTTTTTTTATTTTTTGTTTTATTCTGATGAACAGCTGGATGCTGAGTCAGCATTCTGACTGCTAACAGCTGGATGCTGACTCAGCATTCTGACTGCTGACTCAGCATTCTGACTGCTAACAGCTGGATGCTGACTCAGCATTTTGACTGCTAACTGACTACATATATGTATGTATATGTATACACATACATATACATATATTTGTGTATTTATTTGAATATATTCGTGTACCTGTCCATCAGGTGTTTCCATCTTCAGACATCAGTTTTCTGAAAATAAACCAACACAACAGCAGCTCAGCTACAACAGTTAATTAGTAATGATGAAGATGAGGAAGAAGAAGTTCTCTTATTTAATCTTAACTTTTTCCTTTTGTCTTTCTTTTTTAATAAAAAAAAACACCCTCCTCATTTACAACATATAAATCATCTTTTTATTTTCTTCTTTTTTTAAGCAGCACAAACTGTTTAAAGGATTTTAGCTGTGAAAACATGAAACGAACACATGAACCAGACATTTCTCGGGTTCTGCTTCTTCATCGTTTAGTCTGAGCTGATCCTGACCGAAAAACGATTTTTAAAAAGAACTTTAACAGGTTCTGATCCAGATGGAGTCAGACTCACCAGCAGCAGAGGTGGAACAGATCAGTCATCTGGAGCTTCTCCTCAAAAACTGAATCTGTCCTTAAAGTTTCCAAAGATCTGAAGAGGAGCTGAGGAGGAGGAATCTGCTTCTGCAGAGAGAGAAAATGGAAAATTCAAATCCTTTTTTTGGTTCTGTCTGACCCACAAGAACAAACTGCACATGTGCTGCCTTCAGGGCTCGTAGGAAATACGAGCATTAAGGGCAGAAATGTTTCCAGCTCCATGTTGAACTAGAAAACAAAAACAGGAACAGATTTATGACCTGATGTTGGTTTTTTACAACAATTAAATCACAAAATTACTAAAATTACTTTATTTTTAAATTACCTTTCTTAAAAAAGGTGCAAACATCTGGAAACATTCAGCCCAGAAAACTCTGCTGTAGAAACATGAGCCAACCACCAGAGGGCGCTGTTGGGCCAGAACCCTGAGCCCTAAAGGACAGATGTTTGTCTCTTTTTACACATGCTGGACTGAGGGTACCCGGACCTCGTTGGTCTAGAGGGACAGGTCTGGTTCTGGGTGCGAACAGACCCAGATGGGCTCCTTTTGGATCTTTAGATAAACATAATGATGTCAGTTTAGATTCAGCATCATCCGGTCCAACAGAACCCTCTGGTGGTTGAAGGAAAACATGAGAGGCTCGTTGGTCCAGGGCAAAGTTCTGGAGCTTTTACAATCAAAAGATCCATTCCTGCACTGACCTGTCCAGGTGTCCTCAGGTCCAGGTGACCCCACCTCACACACAAACTGGTACCAGTTCCACTCGACCGGAAAGAAGTTGTTGTTTTCACAGTTTACCTGAGTTGTTTTCTCTCCTTTGATGATGTGTCAGATTTATTATTGATCTAAAGATGCTAAAGAGCTCGGCAGGGATTTGTACCCAGGACCTCTCACACCTGAACCGAGCCGGGTCCGGTCAGAACCGAGGGTCAAAGGAAACCAACAGCTGCCAACATTTAAAACTTTATTTAATAAAAATCACAATCAGCTAAAAATATAAGTTCAAGTCTTCAGGTTTAAAATCTACAAACGGAACAAAGGTCTGATGGGTCAGAACCATCTGGACCAGCTTCAGGTCCTTCACACGAAGAACTCGTTCTGCTGCCCTAGTCCAAGTGACAAAGTCCCTGCTCAGTTCCAGTCCAGGTCCCTGTAGGTTCAGCAGGAAGCGGCTCCGGCCCTCATGACCCTGAACAGGGTGTTGATGTTGTTGGTCTTGATGGCGTCCCTGCAGGCAGAGACCACCTGGTTCTTGGGTTTTCCCACTGAGACAGAAACATCCAGAAGTTAGAAAAGGAGCCGTATGTAAAAACTGAAACTTTTTCTATAAACTAGTGAAGACTTTACTGAAACTTGTTAATTTGTTTCCATCATGTCAGAGGGAAGAACTACAGCTTTTATTTTCAGAGTACTTCCTGTCTGAACGAACCTCGCAGTCTGCCGGCCTTCTGGATCGCCTGGTTCACAAACTTCAGACGGACCAGAAGAGCGTTGTGGTTGTTGGACCGGATCTTATACTCGTTGATGAGGTCCCGGTTCAGATCGTACAGTTCTCTGTAGCGCTTCTTCATGGTGGTCCTGCAGAGAGCAGCAGAAACCGGACTCAGAGACGGAGGACTCAGGGTCACCGGACCCAGAGACAGAGGACTCAGAGACAGAGGACTCAGAGTCACCGGACCCAGAGACCACCTGGACCCCTGCCAGCAGGTCCAACTCACATGTCGCTCATCAGGCGGGCGTCCTCGGCTTGGACCAACATGTTCCTGATGTAGTTGGAGTGGTCGGCCATTTCTGCCGTTAGCTTCTGATGGACGGAGTGGAACTCGTCCACCTGTCATGAGTGAGACCAGCAGAAAAGACCCAGTCACAGAACCAGATCCAGAATCAGTATAGAGTCTGGTTTTGGTGTTACTATCAGCTCATTGTCGGACTGTAAGAACCTCAGTGAGAGTGGAGCGCAGCTCCTCGAAGTACGCAGGGAAATCTGCTTCTGCTGTCAGGTCCTCTATCGCCAGGAAGGAGGCCAGGGACTGGACCAGGTCTCCTGCAAGGTCCAAGTCATCTGTCCTCAGGGTGACCTACGAGAAACAGAAACCAAATGTTTTCTTCTTTGGACTGTTCTCTCTTCAGAGGTGTCCACAGTGAGTCCTCCTCCTCTGTCCCCTGGGTTCTCTGTCCCCATTCTGTCTTCTGTCCTCAATTCAACAACATCAACGTCCAATCTGCATCAACAGCTGCATCTCTAACATCCTACAATATACCCACTGTCCAACTGGACATGTCCAATCCAATATACCCGCTGTCCAACTGGACATGTCCAAACCAATATACCCACTGTCCAACTGGACATGTCCAAACCAATATACCCACTGTCCAACTGGACATG